ATTCCTGCATGGATACCCCAACCTTTTCGATTTCTACTCTCATCAGTAACATAAATGGCATTAGGTCTCTAAGAGAGTCTGAAAATATGCATCAAAATCTGATTGTAGGAAAGGAGAAAAGACCAAATGAACAAGGAGGTGTTTCTTCCTCCTCCACATCCCTCACCACTGTGTGCAACTCCTGGGATTCCTGGGTGATGATGCTGGGGAAAAGTGCTCAGTCTTGGTGAAGAATCCTGGGGAGAAGTAGGACTAAACAAAGGCTTTTCAGGTTTCTTCATTGTAGGAGAAGACATGTCTGGAATAAAAAAAAAACAACAAGGGAACCGTGACATTAGCACAGAAGCCCATCTCAGGATACATCATTCTGTAAACTGAAGATATTTATTTTTCCTGCTCTTGCACAAATATTGTTTGGCCACCCAAATCCCATATGACCAATAAACTAATTTTAAACTATTGCTTTCAAACTTGAGAATGAATAATAATCCCCTAACTGGTCTTTGTCCAGCAAAACAGAAACTACATTCCTACCATACCACACAAGCCAAACACTGAAGAAATGCATGTCTTCAGAACCTCCCTAGACACTTCTCAGATCCCCAGAACATCATCAAATCATCTGCTCCTTCAACCGCCATATAACCTTTAATGTGTTTTTTAATGAAACACCTACACTCAGGTGTAACTGCCATACACATGCTGGTTTATTGTATTTGTTACTTTGTTATTTCAAACCCTATTCCTTACCCTTCCCAAAACCATAGGGAATGAATGTAGCCTACCTAAGAACAAAGGATACATTCGCTTCTCTAAGTCATATTTCCCATGTTTCAAGTAGGACCTTCCCACCTCTTCCTTCCAGTTTTCCTATCAACAAAAACATCTCTTTGGACCTCACTGCATGAAGATAACATGCTGGTAGGCACAAATGTATGATTTCTACCATGCAGGGTTACTGATGTTGCATAAAACAAAAATGCTGGATTTTTTTCTGAAAGTTTAAATTAATTAAACAACATCTGTCAGACTTTGCAACAAATTACTTCAAAGTTAATTACTATATTTTCAGAGAACGCACATCAATATTGTAAGTGGGTTCCATTTCAAATCACTGGGACTAATTCATGTTTAAAGCAAAGGTCATTTCTTAAGTACTTTACTGGACTGAGGCCATGCTGTAGCAGACTTTCCTACATGGACCATATTAGCCCTTAAAGTGATTTTGGCGTTTTTATTATTAACACACTATATTGTGCTATTCTGGGGAGACACATAATCATCTTGGAAGTCAAAGACAGAACTGCAAAATGTGAGCGCCTTACTGAGACCGAATTGGATGAGTGTTTTCTGAACTGCCTGGAGTTCAAGAGTGGGTTTTCACCCTGAAAGCCATACTTTGAGCAGGACCCATCAAACTGTGACACTGTTTGTCTGCTCTGCCCCATCCCACTGCCAAGCTCTGCATAGGCACTGGCACCAGACACAGACTCTGCCAGTGTCCCTCCACCATCCCCCTGGCAACTCCTCTGCTCCTATTTGGTCCTAGCTACTAAGATTGCTGATTTCTCAGATATCCTGCAAGGTTCACCTCTTCAAGAATGCTGCTGAGAAAGGATTTCGTTCAGTGAAACATTCAGCAAGAGCAAAGAATTGCTCTACAACAGAGCAATTCAGCACTCATTCAGTTTTAACAGATATGACAAAGGTTTCTGTATGATTTTTATTACACTGATCTGCTGCAACTTTATGTTGTTATCAAAAATACTGACTGTTGACAGAGGTACTTCTAGCTGTCTTACGAAAAATTGGTAGACAAATTGTTGTTGAGGAAGAAATGGCAGAATTCTTTTTTTCTTTGAATCTATCAGCAGGTAGCAAAGAAAAAGTTGCCAAATGGTTACAGTTTTATTGAATATATTCTACTAAGCTATGAAAATTTTAAAATTGCAAGTCTGATTTTTTTTAATTGAGTTTTGCAGAAGCAAACCATGATAAGAAGGCATATTAATTCTGGAATTATTTTCAAATATTTCATTATGTTTTATTTTCTGCTCAAATGGCAGTTCTAACTTCTTCAAATAGGGCCCTAGTTCCATTAAAGCAAGAAAATTCTCACACCTCCACAACAGATGTAAGATTTTATAAAAGCTTAGGACAAAACTAACTGGCTATTGCTTTCGTACTGTGGTTCTGTGCATGCACAATCTCTGTCTCTGCAGAAATGCTGCAACATTACCACATATAGGCTATCACAAAGACGGAATTAACAAACAGTTTGATTTTATTACAAATGAAAAGTACTGCACTTAAATCTCCCTAAGGAAAAAACAAACGATGGACTGGAAGTGGAAAATCTTTTCCTTATGTAAAGCTCATATTCCACAAAAAAACTCATGAAAGAAAGAGCTGAAGGTCTGCATGTGTCAGCAGCTCTGATTTCTGGAATGCAACAAAGATTTAATTTGGTTGGTTACTGTTACTTCGATAAACAAGCAAAAGTTGTTGTTTTTTTCAAAACCAAAATATTTTAGTTGCTCGAAAGAAGTATGCTATATGAAGTGCAATGTAATCAGAGTATTCATTAACCCTCCAGTGGCATCACTAATTTGAAAAGACTCTACAGAAAAGGATACTGCTGACTATGATAACCCTAGCATTTGCTTTTAAAACATGTAATTTATTCCTTTTCTTGCTTTACGGAAGTCAGAATTGTAGCTAGCACATAGAAAACAGACAGCATTACTTAAAAAGCAAACATAATGAACTTATCATACAGAAGACTGTTTCCTCATTAAGGTGAACACGACTGGTATTCAGGAATAGAAAATTCAGCACTGCCATTAAAGTGCTCGTTACCCACCAAACCAGTGACTTTAACGTACACTGCACTGCACACTGCCATGAAGTACTTTCAGAAAAAAAGTCTCATTATATATAACATAGGCAACTGGAAAGAATAACTGGAAAGAATAAGTGCAGTCAGCAGCTTCTTTGTTAAAACAATGGACTTCGCATTGAGAAGTAATTCAGAGAGCCCCTTTCCCCGCAGCCCCTGTGGCTCTGCCCATGTGTGCCCGGCCATCATAGCGGAGCATTCATGCTCCTTCCATGACCAAATAACAGATGCAGCCGACAGGGGAGACAGAACAATAACTGTTTGTGTAGGTAGGAAGAAAGGCTGCAGCCGTCTCCTCCTTGACCAAGAGAGGAAGATTAGAGCTTTAATAAGAAAACACACAAGTTACATTTCTTTGGAAAGTTACCGGTTACAAAAACAGAAAATAAGAAAAAAAATGCTAAGTAGTTTTTCACTGTCTTTAAGCTTGCTCTTAAGAAATAATGCCTTTAAATAAAGCAGAGTGAGTTGAAGTAATAGACTTCACATGATTTTACATAGCTTCTACATAATAGAAACCATGCACTTTTGTCATTTTAAAACATGGCTAATTTTTTCCACATAATGAGACACAGTGTTGTAGCTACACAGAGATCAGTTATATACTGATAATGACATAATGAATGATAAACAGAGGTCACAAAAATAGACCACTTGCTCGTACATCTGTGTCAAAGTTTCAGGAATAAGATTCCAATCTTTATTACTTTGAGAATGAAAATTAAACAATTTCAAGTGTGATTTATTTTTAGACTTTTGGAAAAACATGCTAAGTGAAGATGAAAAGCAGAAAGATGCCAAAACCACTTAGACAATGTTATCAAAAGGTCAACATTAATCAAACACTGTGTCCTGTCCAGCAAAGAATGTTCTTCAAAAGTGAAAAATGGGCTTTTTTAAAATTCTCAATACTGTCCCAAATCACTCTTGCCTGTATTCTCATGTTATTCTAGAGATACAGTATGTTTGCACCCAAATGGGTGGCATGTTATATATTTTAAAACATCAAAGAAATAAAGGCTTATGCAAATAAAAAGTTAGATCATCTCATCTCCTAACAAGGTAAGTCTCTCTACGTAGGGAGGCAGAAGAGCTGCTGTGAAGCATAGCGTATGTAGCCTGCTCATAAACAGCTTGCACAAATGGTGCTCCAGATGTATAGCTGTTCAAGACAGCCCAAGGCAACAATTTTGATCAATTCTAATGTGATAAAATGCTGCAGGGAAAGTGTGCAGAAACGTGTTTACATCAGCCTTTAATTAAGCTGTTGTTCACTTCCAAAGAACCTAAGGAAACACTAATGAGACATAAGTTTGGCCAATTTCCTCATCAAAGCAAAGACCCTCTTCCTCAGTCTCATCTTGTAATCCAGGCAGTTCCCTGGACAAATGACACCTTGGCACACCACTTGGCAAGCCACCTGTTAGGAGAACTTGGCTGGAATCAAGTGATCCAGGGCAAGTTCAAACATCCACCTGCCCCTGTCTGGACACCTGATCTGCTTTCTTGCCTGCCATCACAACATGGCAGCATTTCTTTCTTGCTCATGAGACATGCTCATGAGCACAGTAAGAAGAAATTATAAACAAATATTATATCTCTTTTAAGACAGTTTATTCTTTAAATATTCTTATTAATATCTTTTCTACTGCTTAGTTTCACAAGTCTTTCTTTATAAGGTACAATCCTGCAGACCACAATCTGTAAGGATTCATTTACAACTCATTAGTGTGGTATTACCCTCAAAACAAAACAATGTTGAACTTGCTGTATATAAAATTGTAATGAAAGCAGGAAAGCTATGGAGTCCATAACACCACTGGCAAGCTGTAAGAGACATCTTTTCATGCTATAGTTTTAAATAAACTGTTTTCCCAGAGGCAGTACCTGGAATAATTTCTGGTGGCAGGATGCACTACATATATCACATCCAGCTGGCCTCACTCTCTACTGTCTCCACCACATCTGGTAGGTATGCTTGTGGGAAGCATGTGTGAAAACTTAAGTAAAATTTTAAATTCACATTGGTTAGCTCTATGATGATGACAATCAGTCATGACAAATCCCACTGTGCTTAGGAGAATCACTTTCATTTTATATTTGTGCATGTGAAGAATGAACAGAGCCACTCTGCACAGAGCCAGTATCACCAATTTTCAGATGTGCTCAGCCTGATTTCCTTTCATACTATAAGCATTCTACATTTTTCAACTGTAGGTCTTAATAAGGTAACTAACATTGAATATTGAGAACTGAGTGACTCTAAAGCACTTCTTATATGTAAGAAAAAGGCTTTGTTATATCTGTACTAAAGACTTGGCTCTGGGGCTGGATGGGAACCAAGAATCCTGAAAATCAAAACATTTTAACTCATTTACCTTATTCACAAAAAAGGAA